CGTGGCCCGGCCCGGCCCACCGCCGCGGTCTCGTACGCCTCCCGCCTGCCTACAACGCCGCAGCGCAGGGTGGGAGCGCGTCCTCGGAGGGCAAGACCTTGGTGGGCATTCACTTAATCCCTGGCAGCTTTTCGGTTATCGAGGGCCAGAAAAGGAGCGGTATTGTTCATAGCTCTGGGATGTTCACGGCAAGGGGAAAGGGACTTGTTGTTCCTGTTCCAGCACAGGGGATTCTCGTTGCTGCAGTGGATTGTCGGGCCTTCGCCGTGGCAGATCTGTGTCTGCCGAGAGAAAGCTGTGATCTTCTGCTATTGCGGCGCACAGTACCAAGCTGAGCAGTTCACGGAGCGTGAACAGAGTTCCTGGACTGCATGGCACCAGTAATGTAGTGGGCTGACCCACCAAGTCAAAATAAATGACGTACTAAATGAGCTTGTGGACCACAAATGCTGTGAACGGTTAACGATGAATAAAAGGACTTATTGATCCAGCAAGTGCATATTAGCATAGGGAGAATAGGGGCTGGGAGAAGTGCTTCCATTGGGGTTCAAAATGGAAATGCTATCAAAAGAAAGTGGGAGTAGTTCTTCAGCATGGCCTCCAACTGTGACGCCAATCCTACACAGCAGAGGATGGGTAGGTGTACTGGCACTGTGAAGCTCAACTCGTTTTGTCCGTTCTTTCCAGTGCTCAGCAGTGACTCTTACTTCTAGAAACGTGAGTGCTATGTGATTAGCTTCTTTCTCTATTTAATCTCCTTAGATCCATTTTCTGCTTTTTAATTTATATTTCCACGTTGGTCTCACTTCACTAAAAGGCAGCTCATTAATTTCATTCTGTTAACTGACTCTGTCATTTAAAACGTGTATCTACTTTTCTGCTTCATGTCAAGCCAAATGCTTGGTAGGAAGGAATAGGAGGAATACCATGTTGGTTCTCAATACTTCTGGGTTTCGGGGATTTTTCCAGCAATACAACTGTCGGACAGAGAGGCCAGATTCTGCACACTGCGTGCATACGGGCTTTATGGGGGTGGTTAATGATCTTACATATGGTCAGATGTGTAAAACTGGAGGAACTCTGAGTTTGAAAGATTTTCCTTCTACTTTCTTTCTTCAACTGGTCTAATAAAAAAGGTTGCCTTTCCCTGCAAACCTTACTTCCCTTACGTTGTTTGACTATTAGGTCTGCAGTAATTACTGTAAAGATTTAGATATCTTCTTATGGAGAGAGGGTTTATTATTAATAGTTCTTGTAGAGTCAAATCCTCAAATAGATATGACTCTCTTCTCAGCCTTCCCCCTGACCTGCTTCACTAGCTGCCTTTCCTTGTTCCCATTGTGTCTATCTTTTCTCCGACAGCTGTAATTAAGCCTCTTCCAGGGATGGTCAGGCATGGCTGTTGCTGTGCTCTTCTCTCAAGCACGCTACTAGGTCTGGGGCTTCTGAACAGAAGCAAATGATTATTTTTGGTGTGAGCTTAAGATCACTGCTGTGCACCTCTGGAAGACCCCCTCTCTTCTTGGCTTGCAGTAATGTTTCAGCTAGATCCTTGGTGATGTGTGATGCCTTCGTGTATTTCTAACACTAGAGGTTTTTTTAGACTTGTAGTGACAGAGTAGTAATTAGTTCTTGTGAAAGTTTAGTGGCAGTTTAAGGTAGGATATATACTCTCCATTTCCTAGTGTGTCTAGAATAAGGGCTTTTTTTCTTCCTTTCTGAGTCCCTCTTGAGTTCTAAGTCCACAAGTGCCTTCATCCGTTTAAAGAATTACATGGATTTCTAGTGCAGTATTTATCTACTGCTGTTAGTACCAAGCGCACATATGTAAAAGGAAAAAGCAGGAGTCAAAAAATGTTGGGCAAGACTGAGGGGGAAAATATTTAAATATAAGAGGGGAATAATGTATGGAATTCTTAGCATGCAACATCACTGTTTTGGAACTGTGAAAAATGGACAGTTTCACTTTTAAAATACAATTAAGAAGGAAGGCAAAAGAAGCAAGAAAGTACAAACTAAATGAGGAAAATCAAGATTATGAATTAGCACAAGATAGTCAAGAAATGGAAATACTTGAAGGGGAAACTGAGGCTTTGTGTGCAGGGAGGCACTCTAAGAGCCCCAGGTATAAGAACTTTAGCCCTGTACATCACCAGTAGAGCTTGTGCTAAGTGGGTTATGGGCTGCATAACTGATACAGCAACAAAAAAATTGCGCCTGCAGAATTGTTAACTGGTGAGGTCCTGTAGGGATTTATTAAATGCTATTAAATACTCTTATCTGTCAATATAAAACAAGTATCACTTACAAAGTGGTGACAGTGGAAAATGATTAATTGGGAAATATCAGATCAAACAAGCTTCTTTGGATATCCTGGTGGGTTGATTTGAGCAATGTGCATTTTCCACACCAGTAAATTCAAGAAGTGAAAAAAAGACTCATCACTGTCCATAAACTGGGTATTTTGTTGCTTTTCAAGTTTGCTCTGAAAAGAATCTGGGCTGGAACTCGTGGGTCTACTGTCTACTGGTAGACAGGAGCACTTAGTGCCATGATGTAGCTGGGAAGGCGAGTAGAACCGTTGGATGTTTAAGCAGAGGGAGGCTCTGGTCTGTGACATTACGAGGCCATTGGGGGAAAACTGCTCAGCTCTGGTCTCTGCACTTTCAGTCCTTCCCAAATGATAAATTGGAAGAGTTACAGGAATGACTGCAAGGTCTATAGAGCAGGTATTATAGTGGGATAGTTGACTCAATCTGTTTAGTCATAGCTATAGGCAAATACAATCTGTTGGGGAAGAGTTATCATGGCTCTATAAAAGAAAGTTGATTTACCAGGTCTAGTGGCATTTATTGGGTAATGATGTGGACAGTGTGATCCCATTGCTGTTACGCTATTCCAGTCTTGAGCAGACATGGTAAGAATAGTCCGGGGGCTCCAGTGGCCACTTGTTCCTGGGGCACAAGGGAGGGGAGGGCAGGATACCACATGGCAGCTCAGCATTAACTGCCCACGGCCGTTCCCCAGACTTGCTCATGGTGAGGAGAGGACCTTTCCCAGCTGTGTGGGAGCAGAACTGCTCTAAAATAAGAACTCAGCCAGGTATCAACCTTGAAAGTGAGAGCCCCTCCGTTTTCTCCTCTTAACACTGACCTGCAGGCAGCATAGAGGAGAAAACCTCACATTTCAAAGTTAGAGAGAGCTGAAGACTAAACTGAGAAAAATCTGGAGGCCAGAGCCTGGGATTATAAACTGAATATGGTAGAGCTGGCCTGGGTCTGAGTTTTCAGGTGTCTGGCAGCTCAGGGACAAGGGGCTTGCTCTGGAGATCCAGAAATTTCTGCATGGCTAAAGTCCTCTGGTGCTGCCCAGCTTCACTTGTCAGTCAGGGAAAAGGACTTGTCCAGGGACACTCCTCTCTCTGTGCGTGGTGCCCCAAGGGTAGTGTGAGGGCATGGGAGGGAAATCTGGCTGCAACCCTGAGGGAAAAAGAGCATGTGTGGGCAAGGTGTGAGGAAGTATTGGCTCTAGGAGGGCACAGCCATGTAGCTCAGCCATGAAAGTGTCAATGCAACACTGCACGATGTGATTGATTGCTTCTTAAACTTATTTTTTAATCAAGACAATTGCACGTGCGGTGCCATTTTCATAATTTTCTGTTAATGCCACTAAGAATTGCTAGGAACAGGCTGTCTACTGTAACCTTTGTCTTGTACATATGCATTATGATAATCTAATCACATGAACGCATGCCCCACCTCTGCCCGGCATTCTCAACTGCTTTGTATGCCAAAAAGACAATATTCACTTAATTTTTTCTCCTCACTCACCACGTTACTCTGTTCTATTCAAGCCTTTGCCTGAGGGCAAAACTTTTAATTTGGGTAGGCTTTCTTATGGGGCTTGTCTGAATGTGTTATAAACGACAGTGAAATCACTTTGCTAGCAGCTTTCTGAAGTGGAGGGCATGATGCTGTCCCCATTTTATAGCCTGGGATTTAAGGTATATAAGGACTTAGGATCAAAGGTCCCCACTAATTTGGGGTACTTTTGAGATACTTTGACTCTGCAATAACTTTGAGACTGAAAACCTTTTTTTTTTTTTTTTTTTTCTTTTTCCTTGAGTACTTAGAGAACAAAGTGCTGCACGATGCTAAATGAAGCCCCATGGAGTACCTTTGTGCGTTTGAGTGCATCGTGTCTCTGCAAGTCAGACCCAGAGCTTTTCACTCGGAAAACCAGGAAAATGAACTAGTGGCTGCAGATAAAAAAAATCTGACTGCCAAGGATTGGGGTGCATGTAGTAATTTTGCAGGAGAAGGTGGGTGATATTCAGCTATGAGATCACCCTCGCTGCTTTGCTGAGCCCCTGCCTCCCTGGCCTACACGTTCCAGTGTTTCCAGCAAATGGAACAGGCACCTCCAGTGAGGGGCCTTCCTTGTTTTGCCCGCGGTGGCTCACTCCAGAGCAGGTCCATCCTGTGCCCTCAGTGAAATGGGAATCTTATAGGAAAAAATTGCTTGTGATAGCATAATTGAAGTCTGTCACCAAGACCGTGAGTTAGAAGTCAGAGCTGAAATCGGGTGGGCAACATAAACCTTGAAATTCTCCAACTGCCAAGCTCTTCGCTTTGCAGATTTGATGTTTTAGCATAGTTTTATGTGCAACTTGCTTACAGTTACTGCTTTGAATTCTGGAGAAGAAAGAATTAGGAATAATGGTTTTAAACCAGAGGCAGAAAGAAATGATATTCAAAAACATAAACAACCAATTTTGTATAAGCAGCACTGGAGTGATTTTGCTTTCTTCTGCATGTGAGCTAGTGTAATACAATGGAGCAAGGATTTTTCTCAGTGAAGTTTCAGCTAAGGAGTCCATAGCTCTGATCCTATAGGATATAAGAGTATTTTGTTGTGTACTTCTCTAGTCTTTGATTCTTCTCTGATGAGCTACAAAAGTAGTAGTCCTTGCTCTTATATAAAATACTGCTTCAAATACAGTTCTTTTATCATCAGTATGTATAACTGCAGAGGTTTTACTTTGGATGAACCCTATGCACCTTGTAAACTAAAATGTCTTTAGTTTGTACTGTGGACATGTTTCTCTACAACACATGTAAGTCATGTTGAAATTACTACATTATCAGTGGTTGGTGAAATTTAATTAGACCCTGTAACGTACTGTATGTGGCCTGACTTCTTAATTCAGATGTATATGGAGCTTTTGCAAATGAACTTGCATCCCCTCTACCTGGGCTGTCTTGCTGATCTGGTTGCTCAGGAAGCACTGTAGAGTTGGGCTGAAAAAACAGCAAGGAGGGTGTGCTGCTCTGTGGGGTGAGAACAGACGGCTGAAGGTGAAGGGCAGCAGCTTGGCTAGCCGGCTCGCTGCCCCGTGGCGCCAGGGAGGAGGGCACCGCAACAGGGCAAGGAGGCAGTGGGAAGTGCAGCTGAGGAAAGGAGCCCACTGAAAAGGCTTTGCAGCTGTGGAACTGAACCTTTAATCTTTCCCCTTTTTGGGCGTGATCTTTGCCCATCTTGTTCCACTTCAGTAATAAACGTCAGTGTTTTCATAATGTGGGGAAATTCAGATCACCTTTCCCTCCCTGCCTTGGTCACTAGAATTGGCAGGGCCTCTTGTGTCCAGCTCCTAATCTTGTGAAGAGAGAGCTTCCTCCTTGCAGGATTCCTCCTTGCAGGAACCAGGTCGTACAGTCCCGGTGAAATGTTCTTAGAGAACAAAGTTGTGCTTCCCACTGCTGCGGGAACAAAGCAAAGCTTATTTCTTCTTCTGTTTTTTCCTATTGTCTTATGCAAAGCTGAAGTTAGCTGCTCTCTGCTAATGACTGTTCACCAGCTTAATTAACTCACTGGCCAAGTTCTGTGTTTGCTTTTGAACGATTCTTCTGCCCCAGTGTTCAAATAGTGGTAATGACCCTGTAGCCATTGTTTAAGGGACTTTTTGTAACACTTAGCTCTTTATCTTTCTGGCTGTTCTCTTTGTCCCCACTGTGCGTGTTCATGCTCTCTCCCTGCTGTACCCCAGCTATGTTTATAAAAGGGAGGGAAGACACCCTGCCCCTAGTATCTTCTCTGTTACTGATCTGATAAATGGAAAAATCCCTTTCAAGAAGAGTGCGTATGTAGGTTCACATTTGCATCTAGGATACACTTTTCTTTAACCTGTAGAGGGATTAGGCCTACCTGGGCACTGTTGTTCATGAAAAGCAAAGCAAAGAGCTAACAAGTAGTGGAGTGAATTCAAACTTTTCTCCCAGGCAGTCTACTTCCCAGTATTCATTCAAAATTTTCTGAATTGATTCGACCCTGTCTCCTTAGAGACAAAACAATCCTGTTGGTACTCCAACACGTTTGTGTCTCCTCAGCCATCCCAAAAAGCGTCATACCAGTTTCCTTAGGAAGTCTCCAGAGCAGTTGTGGTGTCTGCCATTACTGTTTACTCTCAGCCATTTCTTCCTGGGTCAGCACCCTGTTCCTTCTTGGCCAGTATTTCTTTGTAGCAAGACTCCTTCCCCTCTTAATCCCTAAAGCCTTTGAAGTAGCAGTTCCTTTTTGATTATATTTGCGTTGTTACTGAACTAAGACTTCCCTGGCTCTGCTGGGCCAGCCAATTCAGCAGCAAAGTGCAAGGCACAGGGTTTTCGCTCTGTTTCACGCTGATGCCTCTCTTACAGGTGTTATTCAGCGCTGCACTGCTGTGAAGTACCACTACACCTCTAGCTCCCTGCCACGCAACTTACCTGTTAACATTACCAACACCATCCGGCAAGATGAGTGGCATGCTCTCCGTAAGTAACCCGAAACAGCATACAAGCACGTTCAGAATATTTAATGCCTTAACGCAATGCTGGGTGTGGGCTCTACCTTTGCAGGTGTCTAAGCATAAATACATATTGGGTAGAGAGGATGGGAAAGCAGCTGACAGTATAATTGGAAGGGGACATGTGATTTGGAGTGGCTCATGTGGGTGAGTTCAAGAATACCTGAGTTCAAGAATATGAGAGTGCATGTAGTGTGTTGCCAGGTGTAGGTAATTCCTGTCCAGATTACGGCAAAGGTGCTGCAGTCTTGTATGTTCTCTACAGAGCTTGTCGCATTCGCCATATGCACACTGGTGACTTGTTGTAGCTCCCCTGCAGGCAGCACTTTTTGAAAACCTCTCTGTCTTTACAACCTCCTGTTGCCAGTTCCCTGCCCACAAGTCACCTCCTGCCCAAGTCCTTCCCAGACACCTGACTGAAAACTACAGTCTGTCTGTTGCCAAAAATGACTTAGTGTCTTCTGCCCCTGCTTCTCCTCATATTTGTTGTTCTTTGCCTCCCTTAAGTCTGCATAGCCCAGTGATGTGTTCCTCAATGCTGAGGAAATCCAACTAGAGACTGACGACCAGCAGGAGAAAAAGAACAGCAACTGTATAATGGATAACAAGGTGCTGCTCATATCACTGGTGTCTGAGCAGTTTCTTTAGAGCTTGTTACTGTAGTTGTTCCGTTCATAACGTATTGATCTGCTGTCTGCTTTTGTCCTCATGGTATTCCTATCTTCTCTTCACACTACCTGCCTTTCATTTGCTAGTCCTTTACTTCCCTTCAGCATCCCCTCTCACTTCTTCTGTTTCTATCTTCAGCTAACACTCACCCAACAAACTCCACCCCAGAGAAACACACTATGGAGGAAAAAAAAAAAAAAAAAAGACAGTACTGCCATTTGCAAGCCATTGCAGAATTCATTCTGCTGATAATAATGCACTGCTGCTGTCCTGTGCTGCTCTGGCCAGCATTCCTCTTGGTCAGGACAGGTATGTTCTCTAATTGTACAGTGCCCAGCATAAGGGAGTCCATTTGGCTGGATTCCCTAAGTTTCAGTGTAAAGCACAAAGTATTTATTTCAAAGAAGCTACAGGAGGAGGTGCCCATGAGCAGAGTACAAACATTAAGAACAGCAAACCTAAAGCTGTCTGGATTCTCCCCCTGTTGTCCTGTCCAGGTGCCTCCATCTATTTCTTCCTTCTTGCTTCTCTCCTTTCTCTTTCCGCAGACCTGCGGAGGATGACAGCTGGCTTCATTGGCATGGCAGTCTCCATCATCCTCTTTGGGTGGATTATTGGTGTGCTGGGCTGCTGCAAGCAGCAGGAGCTCATGCAGTACGTGGCTGGGCTGCTCTTCCTAATGGGAGGTGAGAGCCTTTCACTTTTGCAGTCTGCTCCTGAAACCACCACGGCTGGCATTACTGGCTGGGGAGGTGCTCTGAGAGGTGAAGTTAGCTGACAGCAAACACGCAAAGTGATTCTGGAGTGCTGCAAACCATCAGCGTAGCAAGGGGCGAGCACTTCAGCCCTGAGGCGGGACCTGGGCCTGGGTAGCCCCTACTGTATGTGCACAGGGGCCTCCTGGTCTGGAGATGGGGAGGGCAGAGGTGGGGGCCCCCTGGGCACACAGCCCTCTTTCCTGCTCTGAATGGATGTGTGGCCTGCTGCTCCTGACAGAAAGCTTGTCTCGTGGTTTTCCCTAAAGAATCTTAACAACAAAGAAAAATCAATGAAGAGCCCCCGTCTGCTGCTCCACCCAGTGTGTGGTGCTCGCTTCTCTGAGTAAGAAGAGCAGCCAAAGCCTGCCTGTCCTGCAGGACACATGTAGCCAAGTCTGGAGAAGACTGGCCCAGGGGTAAGGGCATGAGCTCAGCGCTCGCAGCTGCTGTTTTCTCTGTTCCTCCAGTCTGCGTGCAGACTTTCTGCATGGCCAAAGGTCTTTCTGTACTTTGATTGCCCATCTCAAAAATGGGCAGTATTTCTTCCTTACCTGAAAGGGGCATAGTAGGAACAAATGTACCAAAAGGGTGAGGTACTGAGATACTGTGAGGACAGGAATTTTTAAAATATTGTAAGCAGTAAGTAAGTAGGCCACTTTCAAGTAGGAAAAGAGGGAGGGGCTCTACTTAAAAGCCAGCCAAAGCTGCTACCTAAGAGGCTAGCTATCAGCGTCTATAACGGAGCCAAGCAAGGAACTCAGGGTTATAAAGGCAGCTATATCAATTGAAGAAGTAGTTTTAACATTGTTGGGTGCCGCTTTGGGGAAGTGGGGGAGAAGGGGGGAGAATCCTCCCTAGCCTTAAGCGAAACTCCTTGAGGAGGGTTTTGGGGGACCTGCAAGAAAACCACCCTGCTGACATGGAGTGATGCTGGGAAGACTGGAACTCAGGCTTGTTCTGTCTTTGGTCACCTTGCACACTTAGTTGCCGTTTCCTTTCATTCTTTATCACACGGCACTGAGGGAGTGAAGTGTTGTCAGTGGAAGGGGTAGACTGGGCCCCCCTCTGGGTGCTACCACACTAAGATTTTGCTGTGATGGGCATGCTGTCAGCAGTAAGCGTTTTACTAGCATTTATTCACAGATCCAGAGTTGGAGAGAATAAAATGATCGTCTCAACCTTCAGTTCAGTATTAGAATTCTCAGTTTGACAGGCTTCAGGGATGCTTTAGAAAGTTGTCTTCAGCTTGGACAAGCGTTACTTAGGCCAGAGCAGGATGAAAACAGACAGGATTTAGTGTTTCACACCTAACACATGCGTGTGTGTTTTTTTTTTTTCCCTTTTTTCCATTAATGAGATGATCAGGCAAAAGTCTCGCTAATTACTGCTCTGCACATCACTCATTTTCCCCAACCTTTGCCTCTGCCAGAGCAGGTTTCTGTTATGGTTCACAAAGAACTATCGGGCGCTGCAGTTAACAGTGCAGCAAAACATCTGTTTAGAGAAGAATAAAATAAAGGGGGAGGGGAGATTTAGTGGTGGCTTCCAGAGCAACATGAAAGAGGGTTTGTGTGTGTGGTGGTGGTGGGTTTTTTTTGTTTTTGTTTTTTTTTTTTAATATAAGGGTTGAAGCAAGAATGGCTGTGTGGACAAGGGGAGGGGAGGATTAATTAAAAAAAAAAAGACCTACTTGGTTCATTTCAGAAATATCAGCCTGAGCATGCCAAAGCATTCAGCTGTTTGGTGTGAATTGATTACACCAATCAAGAGGCATGAGCCCTGCCTAAAATGTTAATCTGCCAACTCTGATTTGAAACGTACGTGCGTGTGTGTGAGTGTACACATAAAATTATATAATTAATTTAATATCTATCTATGTAGAAAGTTGCGAGCCCTGAACCCAAAAAGATAGCTTTTTTTTTTTCCTTTTTAATGGCAGGCGCAGTTTTTCTTGAGGAAAGTAGTCCACTTCAATTTTACAGAATATTTTGACAGTGCATAATGACAGCTGTTGCCATTTAAAACTTGCATACTTATCTCTGATTCAGTGACTTAGACTTGGTGTGCCTTATGCTGCAGATTTATTTATTTATGTATTCCCCACCTCCCTCCAGTTTTTACTTGGGTTGATCAGGCATGGGTTTATGGGCTGCAAATACCAGCAAGACTGGGCCATGGAGGAGAACTGTTACTTTATGACTCTGAGTGGTATTTAGGTGTTTAGTGAATGAGCAGCAGCAAAACAGACAGATGACAAAAACCTGGGCAGGTTCTATGGCCAAGGCTACAGCTGGCAGTTTAGAGGGTCGCAGCAGAAACCAAGCAGTGCACTTGGCAGACCTGGGCTTCAGCTATTTAACTAACTTCCATAGGTGCTATGACCTAACTGCCGTCTGGAACGTTGAGACGCGTCTTTGGAAATAAATAACAGCTCAGGTGAACTGAAGCATGATGCACTAGAAGCGCCTGAGATCTAAATTGCAATAGAGGGCCCTAAGGCAATATTGCCTTATTTGGGAAGTGAAGTATACTGTAATCCTATATATTTTGTCCCCCCTCCCACCCTGGCCTTATAAAAATGGCTGGCAGGAGAAAAAGGTGTAATATTTTAATTCTTCACTTTCTTCACCCTGTCCAGGTATTTCAAAGGTGTTTGTGTTCAGCGTAGAAGCCGCTTGCTTGTCTCCTGCAGGTACATGCTGTATCATATCACTCTGCACATGCGTAGCTGGGATCAATTTTGAGTTATCGCGCTATCCTCGCTATGTCTATGGGCTGCCAGAGGACATCAGTCATGGCTATGGCTGGTCCATGTTCTGTGCCTGGGGAGGCCTGGGCCTCACTCTGCTGGCTGGATTCCTCTGCACGTTGGCCCCTTCACTCAACACTTCTCGGGCACCTGTACAAAAACCCAGACAAGAAAACGGGGCTGTGTGACCTCTGAGGGAGTGAGGAGAGACTCTGGAAAGCGCAGCCTGGGCAAAGCTGTGGGTTAACACCAGGAAGAGGTGGCATGTCAGCGTGTGGCGAGCGGTGCCATAGCTGTGGAACTACCAGCCTGTGGAATGCTGCTACAGACTCCAGTCTTGGACATAGACGCTGCAAGTAACTCCAGGTTTGAATTATTGCTGATGTGCTCATTGACGGTTTAAGGGCGGGGGGACAGTTCTTTTGCTTTGTTTTGTCTTCTGTTTACAAGAGATTAATTTCAAGGCTGTGTCTTTTTTTGTGCTGGTTTTTGAACTGTACCCCATGGTCTTGTTCTTGTCCAGTTGTAAGGGATGTTTACGCACCAACTCTATTGCTGCAGGTCTGTTATAATTCAGACCCAAATTAGGGCAAGGAGCTATGCGAAGTTGGCTTGAACACTTTTGCAACAGACATGTCTAGTGTTGGCTCAGGCCATCATTTCCCAAAAGAACCTTGATCTAAGCCGAGGTATAGGCCAAAGAATTAGCCCGTCCTTAGTATTAATTCATCTAAAGCAGAAAGCTGTGCTGTTCTGTGCTGTAGTAGCAACTATTTAGTCGTCACTACTAAAACTGTTTCTGAAAGGAGCCTGCTGTAACTGAGCAGCAAGACTCTGGTGAACTCTTACTGGCTTTAGGAAAGAAGGCGAAAGTTTTTCCTCAGCTTCTTACACAGGTAAGGTTACTCATTCGACTAACGTGCCCTTGTTTTAATGGGGAGATGTATGCAACATGCAGCTTATAACTATTGCACGAGGGGCCAGGGTATATTTCTGAAAGTAAGTCATAGTTTGAGCGGCTGGGATCAACTTTCACCACACTAGCTAACTGTAGGTGTGACTCCTGTTCTGTGAAAGGAGATGAGTAATTCCCCCTGAGCTCAAATTGCAGTACTGCTAGAATAGCAGAAAATTTACAGTTCCCCCCCCCCACCCCCAACATTAACGTCCAAAGGAACTGCAATGTATTTTCCTCAGGAACGCGTGGCTTCTGCTCACTTCACCCCTCACCCATTTATAATGTCAAATGCCTCCTGAGCACAGCAAGTCCAGAACACACATGCTCCACTGGAACAAAGTTCCCCTCTCTAAAATGACCAGTAAGGGCCTTGGAACCAGTGTAAGTACTAGCACTAACTCAGGAACATCAGCCAAAGTACTGTGGGGTGCATTTTTCTTTCATTCATCTATTCTTTCTTCCTTCACATCCCCACCCCTCTCCCAAGCTTCCAAAAACTGCACAGGTAAAGATGAGATGGCCAGCATTTGGAGATGTTTACATTGTATTTCAAATACAATACAGTGGCATGTAAGATACTTAATGATAAAGTCAATGTATTTATGAGAAGTGTAATTTTTAAATGGAAGTTGTAATTCTCAACTGGCATTAAAAGTACTGAAAGACTTGCTTAGTGGATGGAGATGTGAATTCTTGCCCACTAATTACCAGAACAATTCACCAGAGAGCTCGCATACATTTATCAACTATAGTGTTAAAGCATCCAGAGTGAAGCTTAGATAACAAAGTTAAAACACCATTCACGTGTGAATGTTGTTCACCTCTCCCTTGCAAAACGACTGTTTGTTCAGAAGTTGGTAAGAAAGACCCTTGTTGTAGTCTGTACGCTGGCTGCACAGGTGGAAAGAGAGGATTCTGGCTGAGCTACAGCTAGTCTACTCCAAAGCACGCTTACTGCAGCGTTACCTGTTACTCCTCATCCAGAAGTAGCACAGCAAGATTTAATCCAGTTCTAGCGGGAGGAGGCTCCAAAGGCAGCAGGATGGGCACGAAGGACAGGAGGTTCTCCCCTTCCCTTTGTAGATGGAGAACCACTCAGCAACAGCAATAGCCCCAACACATCAAGGATTTGTTTTTAGAGGGGAAAAAAAGCTTTATTTTTTCTAGATAGAAAGTAAGTGGTACAGTCCAGTCTTGTCCTGTCCTCTGCCAAGGCCACAACCTTAACTGGGTTAAGTGATCAGGCATAGTATTGCAGATTGGCTTTTTTCTTTGCTTGAACCTCCAGGATTCCTTCCATGTAGTCCTCGTGTGTGAGCTCCGTAGCTCCACGGCGGAGGGCAATCATCCCCTGCCCAATGAGAGCATATTTAGAGAAGGCATGTGAGCACCCAATCAGTTCAAAGCAAGTTACTCCATTTCAGCTTACACATCTCCCTCCTCTCAGTGTTGGCTGCTACAGAGGAAAACTTACCGCTTCAACACACACGGCTTTGCACTGGGCTCCATTGAAATCATCTGTGCAGCGAGCCAGTTCCTCATAATTCACATCAGGGCTGATATGAGTGGGGAGGGGAAAAAGAAGCTTGAGAACATGTAGCCAATAGAAAACAAGGTATGGAGTATCCTTCAATAAATACCCAACAAAACAGAGTGCCTCCCACCCCACAGTCCTGAAGCGCTGGCACCATGCGTCATGAAACGCAGCCCCAGGAGACCATGCCTTCTCTATACCTGACATTCATTTTGCGTGAATGGATCTGCATAATTCTGGCTCTGGCTTCCTCGTTAGGCATTGGGAACTCAATCTTGCGATCTAATCGTCCAGAGCGGAGCAGAGCTGGGTCCAAGATATCAACCCGGTTGGTTGCAGCAATCACCTAGGTAGAAATAGGATCGTCAGTCCGAGGCACCTGGAGTACAGGCCTCTGCTTCCCAGGGATCCTCCATGTTTCTTCCCTGGACATTACTGTGCATCCCCTGCCAGAGACCTCTGGGCCTCAGTAGCATTTTCTGCTAGATCTCCACCTTGACTTGCGTGTTGGGCTGGAAACCATCCAGTTGATTAAGCAGCTCCAGCATGGTCCTCTGCACCTCCCGATCACCAGCCTTCTCACTATCAAACCTGAGGAGGAAACACGGGGGAAAAAACTATCACCTTCAACCTGACCTCCACCCTGCTCTCATATTTTCACCACATGAAAAAGGCAGAACGACAGCAATTCACACTGCCTGGCTAAGCGCTTCCAATGCCTCCTTGAAGCTACAGCAAGTCTTAGGCTGGTGAGAGACTAGAATAACTGTCAGCAGCATCAAAGTCCCATTATGTCTTTAGTGCTAAACAGGACTAACGTTGTCCGGGCCCAAATAGTATATGAGGGTAAATACCTCCATGTGCCTGATGCAGTTACCAGATGTGTACTGCAGAGGACCATCAGATGGCTCCCCAATAGCATTGCGTTTCACTCAACAGCTCAGGGAGTGTGGCAACTGCTGTCATCATTGTTTTTGTCTTGTGTCTCTGACCAGGCCATGCATTAAGCTAGGCTTACCTCACAAACCCAGGCAAAGGAGACTGCTAGGCGGCTCCCAAGAGCTTCACAACATGGCCCGTACCTCACCTTTTAGTGCCAATGGCATCCAGCTCGTCAATAAAGATGATGGAAGGAGCTTTTTCCTTGGCTAGAGCAAAAGCATCTCGTACCAGCTTAGCTCCATCGCCAATGAACATCTGCACAAGCTGTGGACCAGCAAGCTTCAGGAATGTAGCCTAGGAAGTGGAAGAGAAAATCCTATACCTAGTTTCTCGCTACTATTAGTGTTGAACATTACAAAAAGCTCATAAAACAAACAAACAATCATCATAGCTTTAGTTTAGATGTATAACCCCTTATCCCTTGGAGGCATTCTTTTTCAGCAGCTATTCTACAGGAACATATGCTTTCAACGTTTCCTCTTACCTTAGTCTGGGCGGCACACGCTCGAGCTAAAAGTGTCTTCCCTGTTCCTGGAGGCCCATACATAAGCACTCCTTTGGGTGGCTGTATACCCAAATTTTCAAACTTCTCCTTATGATTCATTGGAAGGACAATGGCCTCCACAAGCTACAGCAAAAGAAACATATTAAGCCATAAAACCATCCTACTACCACAAATCCAGGCTGCCTCAATTACAAGCTGAAGCTCAAAGACTGCTGCCCGCAGTCATACTGCAAACTAAATGTAAATTATCACCTCCTGGATTTGTTTATCCAGCCCTCCAATGTCACTGTACTGCTCTGTGGGTCTTTCATCCACCTCCATGGCTTTCACCCGTGAGTCGTATTCCGTAGGCAGGGTCTCCAGGATCAAGTAAGAGTCTTTGTTTACTCCCTGTAAACATAAGTTCACCAGTTTTGCTTAAAAAACTGTAGCAAAAAGTTAAAAAGAACTTCTTAAAAACTTTCTTCTTAAAAGCTTTAGGCCCTTTAGACAGCACTTGTTAACAAACATGCAACCAAAGATGATTCACTAGACCTCCAGGAGCTCCAGCACTCTAATAGCAGCTTTAACACCGACGTTCATCAAATCACCACAGCTTGGCAGAATGGTCAACACTACAGCTAATCTAGCACATTTTAAAAGGAAGGGGCCTGATTTATTTATGACACAAAAGATTGCTTTTTAAAGAGCGCACTACGCAGATGCCTGAATTTTAGTCACCTACCTGTCTGTATAACCCTCCCCCCTCCCCAATGCTATTTTTTTAATGCTAAAAATATTATGGAATCCTTAATCTTTATATATCAAAATTTTAATAAAGAAAGGATCTCAGAGAAATCTGCGCAGACTGTCTCCTTTCAAAAGGAAGAGACACATATGATCACATCATATCTAACAGTCAAAACAGCATCACTCACCACTAGGTCTCCAGGCTTCAATTTCTCCGCATCAACCAGTCCGATAACAGGCAGGAAATATGTCTATAAGAAAGGAATCAAATTAAGTAAAACCAAGGGGAAAAAAAAAAAAAAAAAAAACGAGTAAAAAGCCGTACTAGGATGGGGCCCTTTTCAGCACTCCTCACACCTAACTGTGCACAAGAGTCTTACCTGGCGAGTAGAGGTCTTGATCACAGCACACTTGCCCTTTCTCTGGGAATCCAGGTCAATGTTTGCTCCATCCTCCTCCTGGTCATTGGGGTCAACATCCAGTAGCTGAAAACCAGAGTGAGAGATTCCATTATAATATAACCAGACAAGCGTGGCCATCCTAGGATTAACACTTCTAAATTACATACAGTAGGAAAAATAAAACTTTCCATCATCCTTCAGCAGTAAAAATTTGAGAGCACCAAAGTACTCCTATAAAAATTAATTTCTTCCTTTCCTCATCAAGCAGCAGCACAATAGCACACAGAAAGACACTATAAGGTCCCGGAAAACAAAGCAGTAGCTACAGGCACCAACTTCTCTTCTGTTTATAGCAGTTCACATTAAGCCCTAAGTTCATTAAGTTCTAAAACACTGGAACAAACCAACTCTCCCCTACTTTTTTTTTAGAAATAAAACTGTTAGCGTTTTTAAGCAGATCAGTAAAAGTACTGAATTACAAAAGGAATGTGATGTAATGCCTGGCCCTTCTAAAGGCTTTTACAAAGTTATCCTAACTAGCTTCATATAACGAACAAAGCAGGTACAAGATGTTGTAAGTAAGTAGCTAAGGGACAGGAACTCCTGCATTCATGCAACTTGGCTAGTAACGTACATGCACATCAGCTGAGTCAGTAGTGAGTGCACCATAATGCCTATTAAAAGGAAAGCATTCTACAGGTTGTAAATTCCAACCCATATTTTTCTCTTTCTACCTTGTTCATGCCTCAGACTTTTTTAATGAGGTTTCTCTTAGCTACTGCTACTTGGACTGCAGAAGTCCTCCTCATGCAAAACTGGGAATAGTTTACAGTTTTTTAAGTATCAGAGCCATCACTTTTCATTTTACTGTGTCACAAGTTTCAGAAAGTATGTGCCAAATTACACACGCCTAAGTCCGCACTAAGTGGACTCTGATAGCTGGGTTTTGTACAGGTGTAGAATAGCTAATACACGCCTAAGGAATGACCCAGGTAAGAAGATGGCAAGTGACAAGCACTTCTGGGTCACAAACAAAACCAACTCAAAAATCTAGAAGTCCTCACTCCAGAATCACCAGCAGTTTGAGAAGACACCATGTTTCAAACTGCGGATGCACCCCCCTGCCCTCCCCTCTCCAGATATAAGTTTTCCACACTTTTAGCATTGCTCCAGAAACGCACACCTCTCTCACCTCAATAACATTAGAAACAAGGTACGGCAGAGTTTTGTTCACTTTGATCTTCTCACTGTTCTCTTTGATCTTATCTTTCATGGCCTGAAGCTCATGGGTCACTCTCAGCACTTCACTCTTCATGATCTGGAATCAGCATGCATAAGAAAGATAGGAATACTGTCAGGCGATTAAGGCAACATAAGCCTGACGTTATTCTCAAAGTGTAACAATTATAAAAAAAAAAAAAAAAGTGAGTCTGAGGAGACAGCGGAGAGAGAAAGGGAAAACTAATTTAAAAAGAGGAAAAGCCAGCAAATTACCCCAACCTGGCTAGGAATCAAGGCTATGCAGACCATTCTGGTCTCCAATTAATGAATACCCCTA